GTTTGTGATTTCAACATGTGTTTCACATTTGCAATGGCTGGATGGGAGGGCAGCGCACATGATAGTAGAATCTTCAAAATTGCAACGAGAAATCCGGAGTACAATTTTCCTCACCCACCACAGGGTTAGTACCTTACTAATACAAGTAGATTTATTTTTTGTGTGCTCCCCTAAAGTTTTTAATTTTTCAGGGAAGTACTATTTGGTCGATGCTGGCTACCCAATGCAGAGGGGGTACCTTAAACCCTATCCGGACATAAGGTATCATCTTCCAGATTTTCAGAGAGCCAGCAATCGTACGAGAAACAGAAAAGAGGTCTTTAATAGAAGACATTCATCCTTACGAGGCGTTATTGAGAGGACTTTTGGAGTTTGGAAGAAAATATGGGTAATACTACGAGATATGCCACATTATCCATTTCCAACAGGTGCAGGTAGTGTCAGCCACTCTGGCCCTCACTAACTATATTCGACGGCATCCAACTCGAGCTGATGTTGACTTCGAGCGAGTTGAGGTCAATGATAACGAAGTACCTGTCGAAGCCTATGAATACCGCATTGGTCAATCTCTATCAACAGAGGAGAACGACAATGCTTCAATTTGCACGAAAGATGGAGAAGGTGCGAGTGAAATGAAAGCCCTTCGTGAGAAGATTACTGCCTCATTAGTTGGAGACTGATTACTTCGATTCAGATCTGCTGTAAACACAATTTGTGAAGGGGTTTGCGTTTTTATTTCGGTTTATATATTTCAATTTTGATGATAGCCTTTTTCATTACCTAATATGGTAATAATTATGTTTTATACTGCATTGTTTTTCAGGATAAAATGACTTTCAGGATGTCTGCTACCCCTCGACGAGTGCTTTGTCATTGTGGCCTGCAAACCACACTTTTGACCTCACGGCAGGCACATAGCTACGGTCGGAAGTTTTATACATGCCCCCGAAACATTGCCGATCAATGCAGATTTTTCCGATGGGCGGACAGTTTCTCTGATGCAGAGGATGACGGTGGTAGTGATTTGCGAGTTCCAGACGACGAGTGGCAGACACGGGAGCTACAACGTGTCATTGTTCGAAATAACACTACCATCATGCTACTCGATGGTCGTTTTTTTACAGTTTTTTTTTCATTCTGCTTCTCCTAGCCAGTGGTTGAGTGACATTTCTGTACTCTGTGCTATTTTGGATGTAAGAAACTGTATGAGTTCCTACGTCTTTATGTAAGAAAGAACGACTTCTTAGTAGCTTAAGGTGCATATATGTATTTTATATTTTATGCTTATAAAATATGTTTGTAAATTTTTATTTGTATAGATGAATTAATATTCATATACTTTGATATATAGATGAAGAAAAATTTTAAACCTATTTGTGCTCCAAATTACTTTTTTTTTTAAATGTATAAAATGAATGTTGAAAACTATTTAGTTCATTTAATTAAGTAAAGAAATAATATTTTTTATAAACTTGATGTATATTAAGCCCATATTTATAAAAATAAATCGAAATATTTTAAACAGTTTAACAGACAGGGACAGATTTGTCATTTTTACATTAACAGCTGGTTCACAACATTTTTCACACAGCTGCACCAAACAGACAGTCAACTTCCCCACAGCACATCCTTCTGGGGCCACCGAAGCTGCAACTGAAAAGCTGAGAATCTGCAGCTGCGCCAAACAGACCCATAATTACTTAGAGGCAATTTGGTTGCAAGTAAAATGAGTATTGCATTTCAAATGCAAGGGGTTTTAATTTGATGCCATAAACCTTTTAAAAAGTTACAAAGTTAATAATGAATAGAGAAGATGAAAGAGTAAAATGTAATAACTTGATTAAGTAGTTTTACGCTTGAATAAGGTGTTTTCCTCTTTGAGAATATTTTAGTTTCAAACTTTTTAATTGATCAAATACAAAAATAGATGAAGAAGAAAACTCTTAACATTCCAAATAAGAATTTATTTATGTCATGAATCGCCTTATCTGACTTAGAACTCCATATTTATAGATGAAATAATCTTTAAAATACTAATAAATTGCTCAAAACATGGTTTAAATGTGCAAGGCAAGATAAAATATAACAAGTTGTGTTATAAAAATCAGTTTAAATGTAAAAGCTTTGAAAATTGGAAAAAATATAAGACTTAGAAAATTGGAAAAAATATAAGATGACTTGTAGGAAGTCTAAGAGAACAATTTGTGACGCTATGAATCTGCTTTTAGTGATTTTTATAATAAATTAGATACTAAAAATGGTGAAAAATATATCTATAAATTAGTCAAACAAAGAGAAAAAAAGTCGAGATTTAATTCAAGTAAAGTGTATTACAGATGAAAATAAAAAAAATATTTTTTCTTGAGGAAAATATTCAACTTGAGTTATTTTGATAAATTTTTAAATGAAGTTTATAAAAATACGATCATACTTAGTGATCTTAATATTAGTAATAATAACAATAATTTTTATTCTACTGTTGCATTAGTAAAAATGAGGTTGATGAGGCTTTAAAGAAAACCAGTGGTGAAAAATCAGTAAGACTTGATGATATCCCAATTGAAGTGTGGAAGTATTGAAGAGATTTGGGAGTTTCTTGGCTTACTGAACCTTTAATATTATCGTACTGAACCTGTAATATTATCTTAAAAACTAAAAAGATGCTTGAGGAGTGGAGGAAGAGTATTTTGGTCGCCCATTTTTAAGAATAAAGAGGATGACAAGCATGTGCAAATTATAGGGGAATTAAGCTAATGTGTTGTACTTTAAATTTATGGGAGAGAGTAATTGTACATAGGTTAAGACGTGATACAAAGATTTCTCATAATCAATTTGCATTTATGTCGGACAAGTCTACTATGGAAGCTACATATTTATTGAGAGGTTTGATGGAGAAGTACAAAGTGAGTAAGGAGGATCTACTTATAATTTTTATTGATTTAGAAAAAAACTTTCAGAAGGCTCCGAGAGAAGTTCTTTGGAGAGGTCTAAAAAAGAAAGGTCTTAATATGAGTTATATTCAAGTCATTAAGGATATGTATTCTAGAACTGTTATTTGTGTTTGAATAGAAAATGGATTCACCAAGTATTTTTTTTATTTTAGTTAGATAACATCTGACTATCTTTTTGTTTTAGTTATGAATGCTCTTACTGGACATCTACAGGAGTATGTACCTACAGGAGTATGTACCTTGGTGTATGTACCTTGGTGTATGTTTTTTTGCTGATGATAAGACTAAAGACAGAGCTCAACAAAAAGTTGAATTATGGAGGTTTATATTAGAGTCTAATGGCCTTCTTTTGAGTAGATCTAAAACTGAATACATGGAATGTAATTTTAGTATTAGTAGCTCTAGTGGCAGAGTTGTAACTATGGGCAATAAAATTATTCAAAGGTGTGAACGTTTTAGATATCTTGGATTTATTGTTCAAATTGATGTTGATATAGATGAGACTGTTATTACTAGAATTCAAGTGGATTTATTCAGGCCTATTGTGTGATAGAAAAGTGTCTCTTAGACTGAAAAGAAAAATTTTATAAGATTATGATGATACCTAGAAAAATTTTATAAGATTATGAAATTTTATAAGATTATGATGATGATGATACCTAGAAAAATTTTATAAGATTATGATGAGACCTGCAATTCTTTACGGTGGCAGGATATTTGCCTTTAAAAGAGAAATATAAAACAAATTTAACTATTCCTGAGATGAGAATGCTTAGGTGGATGAGTGGCTTGACACTTAGAGACAAATTGTGAAACGAATCTATTTGTTAAAGGGTTGGTGTAGCTCTAGTGTTTGATAAGATTGGAGAGAGTCATCTTAGATGGTTTGATCATATTAAAAGTCGACCATCTGATGATCCGGTTAGGAGAGTAGATGGTTTATATTTGACTTATGTTAAGAAAAACCGAGGTAGACTTAAAAATGATTTGAGCTTATTTTATAAAAAAATGATCTTAATCTATTAGAATTAAATGAAGAAAAAAGATTCATGTAGCCGACCCCATGTAGTGGGATTAACGCTTTGTTGTTGTAATCTATTAGAATTAAATGAAAATATGACACTCAATAAGATCAATGTAGAAAAAGGATTCATGTGGTCGACCCCATTTAATGGGATAAAGGCCTGTTGTTGTAATAAATTTCTCAAAACTTGTAATAAATAGTTAAAAATTTTCTAAGAAACTTCTATAAATCTGTTAAAAACCTGCTAAAAAAATATAATAACTTTGACCATAGTAATCCTAATCATATATGTACACACACGCCATAAAATACTTCAAATATCCATAATACATGTATAGCTATTTATATATATATATATATGAAAAACCCAAAGGCTGATTTTATTGAAATAGAAAAGGATGCATAAAGGTTGTATGATAAGAGCCCAAAAGAAGCATCCTACCATACGATACAAGTACAGTAATACCCCAACAAGAGATACAGATAAACTCAATAAAATGTAAAATAAATTTAAACATGCAGAAAACAAGTAGTTAGGGACGAGTCAGTTTAGTCCTGCTTCTTCCTCTAGTTTTAGGAGCGGAACCAGATAACAAACTTTGAAGAGTCGTGTCATTGTCAGGAGTCACCAACGTATCATTCATTAAGTTTCCAAGTTGGAGTGAGCCCTCAGTCTTCTTCTTCCGCCGAGAAGTGTAAACCTGTCATTCTTCATCTGAAGACTGACTCATGTGATCCTCAATCTGATTTGATGTTAGCACCGCAGTAGGAGGAAAGACAGTCGTTGCCACCGCGATAGGTTCTAGTGTATGTGAAGTGTGAATTGTTACCTCTGCACCTGATGCTTCTTGAATAGGAGCTGCGGGATTATCCTGATTTTCAATTTGAACATTATCCGTTGTAGTGTGGTCAGAAGAAGGGATTTCAGGGGCAGACACCAACTCTTGTTTTGTGGTGATTCCCTCCTCAGGTTGGCTGTCATCAGATTTGTTGGGAGCGCGTTCAGGCACATGGGGTGCACTAATAGTGTGTTTGTGTTTTTGACTATTGGTTCTCAATTGTAGGTGCAATCTGAAACATTTCTCATGCGGGTGTCCAAACATCTTGCAGTGCTTGCAGTAGTATGGTTTTTGTTCCATAATGATTTTTTGTCAATAACCATTGGGAGCATATCCAAGTCAGACTTCTTCTACATCTGGTAATGTAATATCTCGTTCAATCAAAATTCTTGCAATAGTGGGCCTTGAGAAATGAACTGTAGGTAAGTCTACCTACAAAAGTTTTCCAAGGATAGTCCCAATTGTATATAAGATAGGTAGGTCAAAGAAATGAAGCTTGAGTTCAAGTAATGAGAACCAGATAGGTGCAATTGGGAGTTCTTGACTGAGATCAAAATTGGGGGTTCATTTGAGCAATTTCATATATTTGCCCTCAATTGTGATAGTTTCTTTAAGAAAATTCTCGTGTAATTATCTTCTGTGCTCAGTT